GTAACCATTTTAAACGTGGGTCACAGAGCCTCGTCGCGGTTACTCAGCTGGCCTTGTAGCACCAAAACAGACAAAAGACACACGTGAGGCAGGGATGATGGTTGTGCCCAACAAAACTCATAAATCCAGGGAGCGGTGGGGATTTGGCCCTCGGGCTGCAGCTTGCTGACCCCTGACCCCTGGGCTAGGAGGCAAGGCAGGTCATTTTTTTAATGCAGATATGTAACTACATTTTGGGAAACGAAGCTGTGGAGAGACGGCAGCGGGAGAGACTTTGTGTTCGGAGAAGAAAAGTGGGGTAAGGAGGCAGCGATGGGGTTTTTTTCTGCAGCCGTGTTAGAGAAGTCCTCTCTGGAAGGGGGCCTCAGAAAACGTGGAGTCTTGGGTGTGCACGAGGCAAGTCTGTTAGCATTTGAGGAAGGAGAAGCCAGACATGCAAAGGGCCTGAGGCAGGAGGAGTGTGGGGTGTGGAGGGACAGCAAGAGGGCCGGTTGAGGGGGAACTCGGAGGTGAGGCTGGGGAGGCAAGGCCTGGAACTGACTCTGAGCCGTGGAGGAGGGACCCAACCCTACTTGGCTCAAAGGTCCTGCTGAGAAGGCCTGCTGCAGGCCCCGGATGGGAAGCTCCAGGCACAGGAGGGGGAGGCAGTGGGGGCCTCTGGGACCATTGTCCCATCTTGAACACAAGGTCAAATGGAGATTCTGTGTGGGGAGCCAGAGAGAGCGATTGGGGTTGAGTGGGCTGAATTTAGAGATCAGCTGGACGAAGCTGACAGGTCTAGAAGATACACTTTGACTAAGGAAAGAAAACCCAGAGACCTGGGACTTTGAAAGTCCCAAATTACCGACCTGAAAATGTTACTAGTGAGCAGTTGTAAACTCTCCCAAGTTACCGGGGTTTTACCAGCCAGCCCCTAGCTCCGAATAAACTCCCTGGAATTTTGGAGGGATCTAAAGGAAGGGAAACGTTGGGTTTTTTTTGTTTTTGTTTTTTGCATTTTTTGCCCTCAGGGCAGCCAGAAAAGGTGGTTCTAGAATGGCTGACAATGAAAAGAGCACTTCTACGGGGAGCCTTTATCAGAGCTCAGGTGTTGTAGTGAAGGCTTTTTCCGGACAGGGTTTGGGGCAGGGACCGCGGGGCGCCTTATCTAAGGCTCGGGCCTTTCCTGGCTTGGTCAAGAATTATGGCTTTAGGCACAGTGATAGCAGGTGAAGCCTCCACCCTCTCTAGCTGCTGCTCTGTGCTGAGCACACCTGCTCTCCTTCTTCCAGGAAGTTGGGGGGGTGGGAGGCTGGGGGGGGGGGGGGGGCCCCACAACCCGGGGCCACAGAATTGGGGCGGGGGGGGGGGGGGGGGGGCTACGTTTGGAAGTACCTGGGGTTGGGGGGGGGGGCCCCCCCCCCAGCCCGACCGGATGGCGCCTCCCAGGCCTGGGGTCACCGGAGGTCAAACTCGGAGGGACTTTGGTACCACTCCGCCCACACAACCTCAGCGACAGTAGCTGCAGTTTCGAGAGCTCCTGGGGTCTGCCCAGCTCTCCGGGACGGCTAGGGAGGCCAGGGGCTCCAGAAATGAAGCTTTACCCTGGAGCTCAGCCCCCTCGGGAAAGAAAATTCCCTGGCAGGACGCAGCCCAGCGCGGGGCAGGAGGCGGCCGGGCTCCGTTCCTGGGGCCCGTCTGGGGCAGCGGCCGCCAGCCTGCCCTTCCGAAGGGGGAGTCGGTACCCGTCTTTCCGTATGATTTGGGAAAGGCTTCCGTCCGTTCCCCGGGTGCCGAATAGTAGGGCCGGGAAGGGGCCACACGGCTTATCGAGCGCCTACTGCGCGCCGATCACTGAGCTTGGTGAGGCGGGTCTTTCACACTTTATACAAAAGGGATTGTGCGGTTTGTTCCACTTTTCCGCCCCTCGTTTTGACGCGCTGTCGTCTGGAGACCTTGCTCCCCGTCAGCGCGGAGAAACGCGTGTGCCGCGTCGGTCGGCCGGATCCTCGAGGCCAGCAGCCCAGCCGGTCACAAGGGGCTGAGGTCGTCACCCATCGTAAAAAGGAGGAAACCCTCGTCTCTTTAGAGGTCAAGAACCTGTCTGTGCTGCGCTGTGGGATTGTCGGAAGGATCAAAGCCCACAGTGAAAGGCAAGTACGTTTCTTAAGCTGGGAAACATTCAATGTGAAGTCTTATTTTTAGCGTAGCCGACGGTCTCCTCCCAGAGTCTGGTGATGTGCTCTCTATTCGAGGGTCTTGGTTCCCAAAGGGATGCGAACATTATACTCACCTGAAGAATAATCTCAGCGTTTTGTTTGCGTTTTTTTTTTTTTTTTGGTCTGTTTTGTTTTGTTTTTAGGGAATTCCCCGTCTCTGCCCTTAGTAAGGGGACCGAAGTCACACCAGTGAGTCACCAGCCTGAGCGCGTGTCCCCTGCGCGCGGGGCCGGCGGTGAGGTGAGCAGGAAGGGGCCACAGGGAATCCTGTTTGCAGCCGGCCTGGACACGCGCTGTTCGCTCCCAGCGCGGGGTCCTTCTGGAGCTGGCCCGTCTCCCCGGATCCCAGCTCTAGCCTGAGGCCCCCAGGCCCGGGGCTCCCGTGACACCTGGAGGAAGCCTTCACTGTGCCCACCATACGCCTCCACCGCCACCGTCCTCTCTGCTTCCTGCAGCCCGAAGGGGCTGTTTCACATTCCCAAGCCAGCCCAGGGCCGGCGGCAATGATCCTCAAACCAGATGAGATCGCCCCACCGGCCTCACAACCCTACTGCTTTATTTTTGCCTTTTCACTTCTGCGTGTGACCGTGTCCGCGGGTCTTCTCTTTTTATTTTATTTTTTAATTTTTTTTTCAACGTTTATTTATTTTTGGGACAGAGAGAGACAGAGCATGAACGGGGGAGGGGCAGAGAGAGAGGGAGACACAGAATCGGAAACAGGCTCCAGGCTCCGAGCCATCAGCCCAGAGCCCGACGCGGGGCTCGAACTCACGGACCGCGAGATCGTGACCTGGCTGAAGTCGGACGCTCAACCGACTGCGCCACCCAGGCGCCCCTCTTCTCTTTTTAAAGACGTATTCTGTTTTTGAGTTCAGCCCGCTCTTGGAAATTTTTACTTGACTTAAAAAGAACGTGGGAGGGGCGCCTGGCTGGCTCAGTCGGCGGAGGGTGCGACCCTTGATCTTGGGGTCGTGAGTTCGGGCCCCATGTTTGGGGGTAGAGATTACTTTAAAAAAAATAAAATAAAAATGAAAGTCTTTTTCAAAAAACGTTAGCATTAGAATGAAAAGTTCATTGTCGTAGAAAGCAAAGACAAGAACAAAAGCGTGGGTAACGGAGGAGGCATCTACGGACACGGCCCTTGCAGCCAGGGTCAGGGCTCTGGGCCTCACTGGACCCACATCTTTCTCTGAATGGCTTCTTTTTAAAACATTTTTATTTATTTTTGAGAGACAGAGAGACACGGAGCATGAACAGGAGAGGGGCAGAGAGGGAGACACAGAATCCGAAGCGGGCTCCAGGCTCCCAGCTGTCAGCACAGAGCCCGACACAGGGCTTGAACCCTTGAACTGTGAGACCATGACCTGAGCCGAAGTAGGACGCTTACCTGACTGAGCCACCCAGGGGCCCCCCCCTTTTTTTTTTTTTTTAATTTTTAATGCTTATTTTTGACAGAGAGAGAGAGAGAGAGAGAGAGACAGAGACAGAGCGTGAGTGGGGGAGGGGCAGAGAGAGAGGGAGACACAGAATCCGAAGCAGGCTCCGGGCTCCGAGCTGTCAGCACAGGGCCCGATGTGGGGCTCAAACCCTTGAACTGTGAGATCATGACCTGACCCCAAGTCAAACACTTAACTGATTGAGCCACCCAGGCGCCCCATGACTACCCAAATTTTGAAGCCGTGATGAGCATGATACTTTGAGATATCAGCAACAATTCTAATGTGATAATGTGATAACCTGTACTTATTTGGTGGAAGTCGCAAGCATGACTAATACTACTTTGGTTTGGTTCCTCATAGAGGAAAATACCAAGCTGTAGTTAGAAATTAGGGAAAACACGTAAGGTTTTCTTCCCCCATTGAAGTTTCCCGGGCCCCGAGTTCCATCTGTGTACCCCAGGTTAAGAATCCTCACCCCCAGAAATGCTACACCGTCTCCCAAGATTATGGCGCTTCCACTCCTTGCCCAGTGAGTGACCGCTGTCTCCTCTCCTGGGAGCACTAGCCATTGGCCAGCTTTTCAATTAGTGCCAACAAGGGGCACCTGGCTGACTTAGTAGGTGGAGCGTGTGACTCTCGATCTTGGGTTTGTAAGTTCCAGTGGCATGTTGGGTAGAGAGGTCACTTTCGAATAAAATCTTAAGGGGCACCTGGGTGGCTCAGTCAGTTAAGCATCCGACTTCGGTTCAGGTCATGATCTTATGGTTCATGAGTTCGAGCCCCGCGTCGGGCTCTGTGCCGACAGCTCGGAGCCTGGAGCCCGCTTCGGATTCTGTGTCTCATTCTCTCTGCCCCTCCCCTGCTCGTACTCTGTCTCTGTCTCACAAAAATAAACATAAAAAAATAATAAAAATAAAATCTTAAAACAAATAAATTAGTGACAATTTGGTGGGTATGAAATGGAATCTCCTGGAGATTTTAATTTGCACTTTTCTGATTATTCATGAAACGTCTTTTCATATAGTTTTTTCTTCTGTGTAATGATTACCTTTTGTTCATTTCCCTGTTGGGTTTTTGCTTTTATCTCTTTGACTTGTAGGAATCCTTTATATGAGAAGAAATGGGGAGAGATGAGTGAACTGCTTGTGTTTTTGTTCAAATAAATAATAAAGAAAGACAAAAAAACCCCTATTATTCATATATGTTACAAGTATCTTCTTCTGGATTGTGGCTTGCCTTTTTTATTCTTTATGGTATCTGCAATAGGCAGAAATTCTCAATTTTCATTTTTAATTAATTAAATAATTAATTAATTACAGTAGGCTCCATGCCCAGCATGGAACCCAAAAGGGCCCTGAACTCAGGACCCTGAAGTCAAGACCTGAGCTGGGATCCAGTGTCGGTCCCTTAACTGACTGAGCCACCCAGGCGCCCCCCAGAAATTCTTAATTTTAATAGAGTAGAATCTGTCAGCTTTTGTCTTTATAGTTTGTGCAAACTTCTTTTCTATCTGAAGATCATAAAGACGTCCATTTACATGGTGTTCTAAATTATTTACAGTTTTGTATTTCACATGTAAGTCTTCAATCCACCGGGAATTAATTTTGTGTATGTCGAGATAGGGATCCGATTTCATCTCTCCCCCATGTGGTTAATTAGTTGTCCCGGCACCAGTTGGTGAATCCATTTATCCCCCACTAGTCTGCAGTTCCCCCTTCTGTCCGAAATCAAATTTCCATGAGCACTTATCTTTGGTTCTGGTCTCTATCCTGATCCAACACTGTTGTTCCGTGCCCGCATCAATACCACACCTTCGAATTTCCTTACCAGGTGGAGGCAAGTCTCCCACTTTCTTCGGGAGTACCTTGGCTATTTGCAGCCTCAGCTTTTCCAGAGAAATGTCAGAATCAGCTTGCCAAAGCTCACACAAAATACTCTTGGAATTCTTACTGGGATGGCGTTGAATTTATAAGGCAATTTGTGGACAGCTGACATCTTTCAGTTACTGTCTTTTTATCCAAGAATATAGTCCACTGTCCATTCATTTAGATCTTCTTTAATCTCTGATGTCTTTTCAATAAAGTTCTGTGATGTTTCCAGCAAAGGGCTTGCACATCTTTTGTTAGATTTGTTATTAAGTCTTCCGTCCTTCCCACCTTCTTGCATTTTTCTTAATTTCTGATATTGTAAAGCCCTTTTAAAAAATTGTTGCTGTATATAAAAATGCAGATATATACTTTTATATATTGATCGTGTATCCAGGCTTAAAAAAAAACTCTTATTCTAACATAATGTAGCTATAAGTTATTTTAAGATTCTCATATATTCATATCATCAGCAAAGACTGGCAATTATTTCTCTCTTCCCAATCCTCCAATATTTTATTTCTTTTTTCTTGCCTTTCTACCCTGGTTTGGATCTTCAGCGCAATGCTAACTTACAGGCAACTTACAATAGGCAACTTATGTCCAGTTGGATTTTAAAGGGAATTAAATATAACATTGGTTGTACAGTTGTCGTTTTGGGTATATATAGTATTTGGTCTTTATTTTGTTGTTAAAAATACCACAATTTTAGAGGTTTAGCAAGAAAAATATATTATCTTACAGTTCTGGAGGCCAAACATCTGACTCTGTCTCTCACGGGACTAAAATCAAGGTGTGGACAGGGTTGTGCTTCCTTCTGGAGTCACTAGAGAAGAATCCATTTCCTTGACTTTTCCAGCTTCTAGAGGTGCCCGTGTCCCTTGGCTGTGGCTCCGTCCTCCATCTTCAAAGCCGGTAATGTTGCATCTCTGGCCCTTCCAGAGCGACGTCTCCCTGACCAACTCCCTGAATGTGTGTCCACATTCAACCAGCCAGAAAATGTTCTCCACGTTAAAGGATTGAATGATCAGACTGGATCACCTGGATAACCCAAGATCATGTCCTGAAACCTAATCATGTCTTCAGAGTCCCTTTTGCCATGAATGGTAATGTATAGGTTCTGGAGTGACATCTTTGGGGGGCGGGTTGTGGGGGACGTTATTCCAACCGATGTAGGCTGGCTGGGCCTGAGGACCCAGAGGGAGTCCTACAAAGACCAGCCCAAAAGGGTCCCTGGTCTCATACAGGATGAAAACCAAAATGCAGGCAAGAGGAGGTAAGAGCAGAGTTTATTGAAGACGGAGAGAGACTGGAGCGATACAGAGAAGACCAGCATGGCCTCTGCACAAGGATGATGTGCAAATTCATGAAGCGTTCCATATTAAAAAAAAAAAAAAATCTTTCCAGGTAATATAGGACTATTCAGGTTCTAGGGGTGCCTGGGTGGTTCAGTCGGTTCGGTGTCTGACTCTTGATTTCGGCTCAGGTCACGATCTTACTGTTGGTGGGATCGAGCTCCACATCAGGGTCCGTGCTGACAGGTGGAGCCTGCTTGAGATTCTCTGTCTCCCTCCTATGCTCCTCCCCCACTCACGCTGTCTCTCTCTCTCTCTCTCAAAATAAATAAAATAAACGTAAGAAAAAAAGGATTACTCACGTTCTTTATTTCTCCCTAAGACGGTTTTGGTAAACTGTGTGTGTGTTTTTTTTTTTTCCAGGATGTTACCTGCTACTTTATCTAAGTTTTCAAGCTTACTGGCATAAACATTGATATTGACTTTGATAATACTTTGTTTTGTTTTCCCTGCTTTTCAGAAGTTTCTACTCTTACTCTTTCCTTCCCAGACTTTTAAAATTCTAAAGTTGAGTGTTTGGTTCATTCATTTTGAGATTTTCTTCTTTTCTTTTTTTCTTTTTCTTTTTTTTTTTTTTAAATATCTTTTCAACGTTTATTTATTTTTGGGACAGAGAGAGACAGAGCATGAACGGGGGAGGGGCAGAGAGAGAGGGAGACACAGAATCGGAAACAGGCTCCAGGCTCTGAGCTGTCAGCACAGAGCTGAACGCAGGGCTCGAACTCACGGACTGTGAGATCATGACCTGAGCCGAAGTCGGACGCTTAACCGACTGAGCCACCCAGGCGCCCCGATTTTCTTCTTTTCTAACAGAAATGTTAGAATGTATCTAATGTATCAGACATGATACATTATTTCTGTATATGGATATCAGTTTGTGTCTACATTCAGTTCTGATGACTTCCAAGTGTATGCACTTTTTCCCAATATATGTAGCTGTATTTCGTTACTGATTTCTAACTTAATTGCAGTGTGTCCAGAAAGCCCCGTCTGCATGGGGCCAATCCTGTGAAATATGTGGAACCTAACAGTTGGTCTATCTTTGTGACCATTTCACGTGTGATCCAATAGAATGGGTCTTGGGGCGCCTGGGTGGCTCAGTTGGTTAAGCGTCCGACTTCTGATCTTGGCTCAGGTCATGATCTCGGGGTTTGTGAGTTTGAGCCCCATGTCAGGCTCTGCACTAAGAGTGCAGAGCCTGCTTGGGATCTGGCTTTCCCTCTCTCTGCCATTTCCACACTTGCAATCTCTCTCTCTCTCTCTTTCTCTCTCAAAATAAATAAATAAACTTAAAAATAGAATGGGTCTTCTCACATCCATCAGAATGGCTCAAATGAAAAGATAGAATACTGCTAAGCATTGATGAGGAGTGGGGCCCCTGGAGCTTTGACGTAGGACTGGCGGGAATACAAATTGCTACAACCATTTGGAAACCTTTCGGGCAATGTCTGCAAAGGCTAAACATAAGCTAAACATACCCAACAGAAATACGTACACGTGATCATCAGGTGACACCTACAAGACTGTTCATCCGGGGATGCCTGGCTGGCTCAGTCTGTAGAGCGTGTGACTCTTTTTTTTTAAGTTTATTTATTTATTTTTAAGAGAGAGAGTGTGTGAGTGGGAGAGGGGCAGACAGAAAACAATCCCAAGCAGGCTCTGCACTGTCAGTGCAGAACCCAACGTGGGGCTCAAACTCATGAACCATGAGACCATGACCCGAGCCGTAAACAAGAGTCAGACACTTAACTTACTGAGCCACCCAGTGTGGCCCAAAGCATGCAACCCGTGGTCTCGGAGTCGTGAGTTCAAGCCCCACGTTGGGTGTAGAAGATACTGAAAGATAATAATAATAGAGGTTAAAAAAGTGTTTATCCCAGCCCCATTTATGCTGCTTGCAAGGAGGCAACAATCTAAATATCCATCCACAGAAGAATGGGTACGTGTGGCTTATTCATACAATGGAATGAGAATAAAGACATTTCTACACACATAAAGCTCTCAAACATAACATTGAGCAAAAGAGTACTACTGTATGGTTTCGTCGATATTCAGTCAATATGGGCAAAATTAATCTACAGTGTTCGAAGTCAGAAGGTGGTTTCCTTTAGCATGGATTGTGACTGGGGTTGGTGCGGTGGCAGAAAGAGGGGTCGGAGGGTGCCATAAAGACCCATTTCCTGATCTAATCCAAGTACTAGGTCTGTAGTGTGTCGACTCCATGAGAATTCATTTGATTCGAGAAACACAACAGATGAACACAGGGGAAGGGAGGGGAAGGGAAGGGGACGGGAGGGGAGGGGAGGGGAGTGGAGGGGAGGGGAGGAAAGGGAAAATATGATAAAAACCGAGAGGCAAACCACAGGAGACTCTCAAAGACAGAGAACAAACTGAGGGTTGCTGGAGGGGGGATGGGCTCATTGAGTGATGGGCATTAAGGATGGCACTTTTGGGGATGAACACTGGGTGTCATATGTAAGACTTGAATCATTGGGTTCTGCTCTTGAGGCCAAGACTACACTGTATGTTAACTAACTTGAATTTAAATAAAAAAGACAGGATTCCTTTGACTTATATTTTTGATTTGTGTACTCTTCTCTATATATCTTCTTGTTCAAGAAAAAGTTCAGTGGAAAAAAAAAAAACAAATGGAAGCACCTGGGTGGCTCAATCAGTTAAGGATCTGACTCTTGATCTCAGCTCAGGTCTTGATCTCAGGGTTGTGAGTTCAAGCCCCACGTTGGGCTCTGTGCTGGGTGTAAAGCCTACTTTAAAAAAAAAAAAAGTTTGTTCCTTAATTGCTAGGTGCGATGTTTATATATTCATTAAATCAAACTTGTTAGGGGCTCCTGGCTGGCTCAGTTGGTGGAGGGTGGGGACCCCTGATCACAGGGTTGTGGGTTCAAGCCCCGCTTGGGGTGTAGAGATTACTTAAAAATAAAATCTTAAAAAAAAAATCTCTTTAAATCAAGCTTGCCAATGTTCCTGTCAAATCTCCATCCTTACTTACTTCTTACACACTTGATCTGTCAGGTATAAGAGCGGTCGCGTTAAACTTTCCCGCCTTAACAGTGCATTTGGCAGCTTCTTCTCATAAATCTGTAAGTATTTGGTTTACATCTCTTGAGGCTGTATTACTGGATGCTTACAAGTTTAGAATCATTATCTCTTCCTGACGAATTGGAAGTTTGTATCATTATATAGTCCTCTTATCGTGGGTAATGATTTTTGCTTTCTTCTCTGTTTTGTCTGATGTTTAATAGTTGTTCCAGCTGTCCCTCGGCTGTTTTCCAGTTTATCTTTTTCTACGTTTTCAATTTTTTACGATCCTTATGTTTTGGAACCACCTCTTGTGACTAACACGTAGAGGAATTATTATTTTTAAAAAGTTTGTAATGTTTATTTGGTTTTGAGAGAGACAGATACGCATACAGAGCATGAGTGGGGGAGGGGCAGAGAGAGAGGGAGACACAGGCTCCAGGCTCCGAGCTGTCAGCACAGAGCCCCAGCGGGGCTCGAACACACAAACCATGAGAGCATGACCCGAGCCGAAGTCGGACACTCAACCGACTGGGCCACCCAGGTGGCCCTGTATCCAATAATTCTAAAATCGGGCCTTTGTAGTTCTGTGCCACTGTCTGGTTTCTGCTGTTCTTACTTATGGCGCTTTGGCTCCTTGTGTGTCCTGTGGTTTTTGCTTGGGAAGTGTTCATTTTCCTCTCTTTTTATTGTTCATTCTGTAGGAATTCTTTGAGGTTTGGGCTGAGGTTGAGTTCTTCCAGGGAGGGTTCACATTTGCTTCTGAAAGTCACCTGAGGGCCCTATTCTCCCAAGATGGTGTGTGTGTGTGTGTGTGTGTGTGTGTGTGTGTGTGTTTCATATGCACACACTTTGTATCAGTTTTGGAGTCCAGTGCAGAAAACAGAAGCCAGTCAGTGTACATTAAGCAGAAAGAAGTTGAACACAGGACATCAGGCGCTCGTAAAATCCTTGGAAAGACAGGGGAATGGTCATCAGCAGGCCTTCCCGGAACTGTTGAATTGATTCAGGCATAAGGAAGCGAGGGTTATGTGGCCACTAAGGCTACTGAAGCTGTTGCCAGAACTGTATCTGCCCACAAAGCTGCTGCTAAAACCTTGAAATACCTAGTCCTGCCACTGCCATGGCTGCCTTTCACACTCGCTTCCATGACCTTAGTTGCAGAAAGACCCGCCCCTGTCTTGCTTCCGTCTACCAAATCTGATGCAGGGCTGGGCAACCGGCCAGACCTAATTCACGTCTAGAACCTAGCTGCAAAAGAGCCTCAGAAACGAAGCGTGTACTTTCTAGCTTCTGCCGGGTCCTTTGGTCCTATTCAGCTCAGAACCACCAGACAGCTCAGTTCTTGCCAGCCTTTGGTCAACTTTCCCCAGTGTCTCTTTTCCCTCCCCTTATTTTGACTGGGGGAGACACCATTCACCGGCTACTGAACACTTGTGATTTCCTTCTCTCTTGTATACTCTTACCACCTGGGCTGGGGGAGCGGGGCAGGGGGGGAAGACTAGCTTCTTTTGTCAGGTGACAACAGTTTTGATTAATGAAACACAAGCCGAAGTCTGTTGAGATTCTGGGAGGGTGTTTGCTTTTCCCGAAAAAGGAAGCAATGTGACCAGTTTTTAGCTTTTCCTTTCCTGCTTTGAGTGTGGATGTATAGGCTGGAGTCTTGGCAGCCTTTCTGTGACCACGAAGAAAAGGTAAAGAGAAATGCTGAGACACCATCCCTATACTACTGAACAAAGACCAGCAGCCACATACTCCCAGACTTCTAGAAGAAAAATAAACCCACTTTGTTAGCTATTGTTAGGTGGTGTTTCTGTTATTTGTACTCAAAAGTAGCCCTAACCAATACAGAGCTTTCTTTTCATGTGTGTCTTCTGTGAATAACATAGAGATTTTGTTGTTGTTAACTAAATCTGAAAGTCTCTGTATTCTAAAATGGGGATTCAATCCATTCTCCTTTTGTTTTCCTGATATGTTTTGACTTATTCC